AACAGCAAAGTGATTTGTACTGATGGAGTCAACAGTGTATTAGAGTGTTAAAAGGTAGTGTGTCTGTATGCTGTATGCCCACCCAGATCAGCAGCACAGCACTCAAAAAACAAAAGTGAAATATGGCTTTCACTGCATACTGAAGTGCAACCTGCACCTATATTCAAGAGATAAGGGGGTCATCGTGCTACTCACCACGCCTGACCTGAGTATGATTTAGAATCATCATTTCTCATCTGCTCTGCCTGGCAAAACACAAAAACTGTGTCCCATCTAAACACAACTGTAGGACTACAGTTTCTCACCAGGGCATCTTACAGAAGTGACCTAGACACAAATTTCAGCTTTGCGCTGAATCTGACAAAGCAGCTGGAAGGCAGAGGGTTTGGGGGGGAACTGTAGGAGGAAGCCCAACCATCTAATCCTGCTGCCACTGCCTTTATCATTAACATTACAGCACCTCTCTCAATGCACTGAGATTCGTTTAATAAAGCTCTTAGACTATTTGGGAGTTCCTTACCTCCCCAGTCCTCCTATGAATGGGATCAGACAATCCCAGAACCGCACTCCCCTACAATTCAAAAAATCTTGGTCTGGGGATGTCACCCTTAATTTTGCAAAGTTAATTTCCCTGGATAGCTGGATGATTGGCTGGGAGCTAATGAATCCCACAGCGAGGGAAGAATTGAGTGGGGAACATGAAAAGCCAGAGTAAACCTGGTAAATAGCTGCTCCATTTTACATCTGTCTTTATACACCTCGTGAAAACGGTCTGTTTTCTGTGCAGAAATTGAAATTGTTTGGAAAAGGAGGAGCAGGACAAATTCATTAGAACAAAAATTACCCACATTTCTACACTTTGTGCAGAAATATTATTCGAAGAGAGACTGCTGCATTGCTGCATTTGGTCTGGTCTGTCATTTGCAGAGACTGAAACTGTCTTGTGGCCGGCCATGATGATGCTGGGCAGCATTTTGAATGTTCCTTCAAAGGGGTTTAGGACTCTTAAAAAAAGATGAGGCTTTAAAAATGCAAACCCACATCATTGCAATCAGCCACTGACATGCAAGGACGCTATAAAGACGAAGTAGAAAAATACAGTGGCAAACCAGGACTAAGTATTCGTTTGCTGGTGTCTGCTGTCACTCGGTAAACCTGACACAATTTCTCCTTCATCGAGGCAGAAATTGTTCTTTTTTTCCAGCTGTCACTTCTTAATCGTGGCAATAAAAAATAGTTTTATCTACATACATATTTTTGTTACAAAATGACACCACCGTATTTTTAAATGAGATAAGTATTTGCGCCAGGCTGGGGACAGCATCTCCCACTGCTCCAACCACATCAAAGGCAGGACGAGGGAGCTAGAGACAGGCACTGCAGCCATAAGTGTGAGTTTCCTGGATTTGGGGTGTTTAATTCTGACCGTCATTATTTTCCCCTGTTTTTTACAAATGCGTTTACAGAAAAGAAAAATAAAAAAAAAAAAAAAAAAAAAAAAAAAAAAAAAAAAAAAAAAAAAAAAAAAAAAAAAAAAAAACAAACCCAAAAAAACCAACAAAAGAGAGGGGGATGGGAAGAGAGACAGATCCTTTTTATAGGCAAGAGGCAAGAAATGACCTGAAAGGGCGTTAGGGAAGACGTCCACCAGGTAGTACAAAACACACAATCAACGCTGTTTACTACAGGTAGATAGATTGCCTAGTAAAAGTTTGTGCTGTCTTAAAAAACTTATAAACTCCGTGTAGGCAGAACCCTGTAAGAAAATGCCGGGACGTTTAAAAACATAATCGATTTGCTTTTAACAATTAATCACAAACAAAAAAAAAACAACACCCGATGTCATGACAACTTTTCTACAACCTGCTCGCCCCGGTCCTACCTGGCGACACGGAGGGCGAGGGAGGTCTCCAGAAATCCTCGAATTCGGACACTCTGTCCCAGAAGCTGCCCTCGCAGCTGGGCATTGACTCGGAGGTGCCATCGGCAGCATCGGTAAGGTGGGATTCCGGGGACAAGCGCCCCTGGGAAGTCTCCGGATCGGGCGGGGCAGTGCGGCACAGCTCCGTGTCCTCGGGGATCTTACTGTCTGCAGGGCAAAGGGGGCGAGGGGGGTCATCAGTGTGGGTCCATGGTGGGAGCCACCTCCCGTGGCAGCCCCGCTCCCACCAAGGTTTGATGTCGGACGCTCTAAAACCCCTCATGAGCCCCTCTGGCGTCCCGCGGGGGCTGCACAGAGACAGCAGCGGGGAGCAGCGGGGAACAGCGGGGTGATGCAGGGCGGGCGGGCTGTGTCCGAGCGAGGCTGCGCCGAGGGACTCCTACCTTCACAGAGCTGGGCTAGCACCGTCTCGAGCCGCAGGCTGTAGTCCTCGTCGGCGGAGCGGGGCTGGTGGTAGCTGTGCGCTTTCTCGCTCTTTACTAGGAAGGACCTCGACATGGTGGGGTGCTGCCACGGCCGGCACGGCAGCACTCCCTCTCCCTCGCCGGGCGGCGAGCATCACCCCCGAGTCTCCTGCGGGACGGCGGCGGGGAGGCGACCTGCGGGGAGGCGCCGATCCCGCCGGTGAGGGCCGGGGGCGCCGGCCGGGAGGGGCCGCTCGCCGAGGGCGGTGCACCAGGTGGCGGCGGGCAGGTGGCTCCGGCCGCCGCCCCTGGCCCCACTCGCCTCAACCCCCTTCCCTGAGCGCAGCTAACTCAGCCTCCCACCCCCCCGGCCAAACCCTTTCCACCCCCCACACGGGAGCCTTGTGTCCTCCCCGGCCACGCTCCGGCAGCCCGACGGCTGCAGCCGGATCGCGGGGATCAGGCACCAGCGCACCCCGCACACCCCGGCACGCTCCGCACACCCCGCACGGCCCGGCCTTAGGGGGGCGGGCACGCGGCCGCCTCGTGCGCGCGGGCCGCTGTGCCACATGCCCGCGGGCGGGCGGGTGGCGCGAGGCGGCCCCGCGCGCACAGTCCTGAGGGGAACCCTGAGGGGAGCCGCCCACAGCCATCGTGCCAGGGCTGTCCCCACCCCTAGGGGAGCTGCTATCTGCAGTAACACCACGCCGAACAGAGGTGAAGGGGCTCAGCTCTTATTCTTGGTTTCCTGTGTGACGTGCGTGCCGCAGCTCAGTAACCCTTGAGGTGGTCTTGCGTGTGCAGTGGTCATCGTGTGGCATGCAAGAGCTCAGTGACAATGCCAAGTGTTCTGTGTCCCAGGATGGAAAAACCAAAAACCCAGGCCCTGAGCTGGCGGAGGGATGTAATCCATGGGGAGTGAAGGGCTGGGTTTTAACGGAGCTGCTCTAATGCTTCCCCCAAAGGGAGTGCGGTATTCCAAGTTAAACGTAAAAATTTGTTAAGATACAGTTGAATGCAATGGTATTTGATTGGTACCCTATAGTGGCAAAAGAGAGGAAGAAATACACAAGAGGAGGGGTTTAAAGGAGAGTGGGATTGTATTATAGTATATAAAGCTGAAGAGCTTCTTAGAATAATTGACTGCACTGTTCACAACAGCTGCCTGGTGTCACCCTTGGAGCTGAGACAACATCAGATAAGACGCCAAACGTGATAGGCTGCAGGTGAGATCTTGGACCAGAAGTGATGAGACACTGCGACAGGAGGAAGGATCTGAAGAAGAGGATTTGACAGGTTAGCTCCTTGGTACATATGGGGAGGAGGAGTTTCTTGTGTGTGGAAGTCAGGATTGTGAGAAAGCAGGAAAGACAGTGGTACTGGGGGCAATTCATGTATACTTTACACTGATAAAACTTTGGAGCACAGTTATGGAGAACAGTTTCACTACGAGAAGCTGCTAGAACTTGTAGCAGCGTGCATTCTGTTGGGAAATGTGTTTTTTTAAACTTTTTTTTTTTTTTAAACCCATTTTTAACATGATACTTATTGTTTATTTTTTCTTCCAGCATCTTGTTCACTACCTTCCTTATGGTTCTCCTTGTGGCATAAACACGTGATGTAAATGTGACAAATTAATCAGTGATTTTGATTGGTTTTTCCAGCAATAAAAAAAATTGCAAAGTAACTTCTGCTGCTCTCAGAGCAGATTAGAAAAATAATGATCCCTGTAAGCGCAAACTGGGGAGGGAAAGTGACAGTATGCTGTGGTGTTGAAGCCTGGAATGAAAAGAACGTAGAAATTTCAGTCACTTGGGCAGTAGTATACAGTTCTAAGCGTGCCACACTGCTTTTGTTTTTCCTAATTGTGAAATAAGGCCTTAGTTCCTGGAAAGGGAGAGTGTTCAGCTGTTGTATCTTATAGATCTAGCGGTTGTATCTTAGTAGTCAGTCAGTGCCCAGGCATGCGTAGGCATGCGCGTGTAGCATGTTTGCTCTGCTCTGAAGCTGAAATTCCATGCTGTATAGAGGTTATGTTGAAAGTCAATTTATTTTGTACTTCCTATTATTCAGAATTTCTGGTTCTAAAGCCTACTGCGGAAGTGTTTTCACCGATTCTTCTTACATCTTTGACTGGTTTGTAAAAAAAATAAAAACAACACAATAAAAAAACCCAACCCCAAACCAAAAAAACTCCCATCACCAACCAAAAGCCTCAGAGAATTGCAGAAAATATGCTGATGTAATTATAATGATAGAAGATTTCACAGAACAAAAATGTACTTAATTGAATCCAGAAATCTGTTAATTATACACAGCTTTCCTCTTCTTTCAGTACACAGAATTAGTAGCTGGTGCACGATTGAACCATAGTTTCCACATAAATTGTACTAACCTCTATCTTACAGGTTGATTTCTTTTAGTCAGTCTCCAGGACTAGCCTAATGGCTTTCCTAGGGGATTTGCATTATCCTCTATCTTCCCCCAAAATGAGTTACATTATTTGGAGCCTCAACAGGTAAGAGAATTAGCAGCATATCCTATATAAAATGTGGATAATTTTATGCTAACATATCTCTTGGTCATTCTAGCTTAAAATAGAAATATATTAACATCAAGTTTCACTAAGTCACTAACAGTTTCTGATACAGAACAGTGACTACATTAAATACTCCAGAAGAACATGCAATTCCATCTGTGTTGCAGTTCCAGAAGAGGGTTGAGTACTGATCAACAGTGGGTTTTTTGGATTTATGCAGACTCCTCTGTGAAAGCTTCTTTTAATCACTTTCATAGCGATTTATTTTATTTAATACAGGAAATTGCACATACAGTTGAAAATTGAATTTAATGGACAGTAGTACTTTGTGGATGTGTACGTAGATGAGGCCTGCTTTTCATTAAAAAAAAAGTGACCAATGAGAGTAAAGAGTTGTTGAGCTGTGAATGTAATACATGCTTCTTATCTTTGCAGGTGTACTTTCTTCCAAATAGTCATGTTCCAGATTTTTCACAAATACTAAAAAACTTCTAATACATGAAATTACTTCAGTAAGAAGAGGTCTAACCATAAATGCTATCAGTACCTAAAATATTCACTCTTCTAGTGTGGAGAAACAAGAAAATACAAATTAATTAGTGAAAGCATTTGATTATTAGATTGGGGAAATCAGAACCATTTTCACTACATAAAATTGTAATTTACAATTACACAAAATGTAATTTACACATAAATCCCATATATAGCAGGGCATCCCCCTTCCCTATTTCACCTCTCTTCTCAGCTGCAGCACTTACATATTCAAGAATGTTGAGTTTTCATGTTTATGTGCTTTTTTTAACCTCATGCTTTTAGCGTTTGCATTGAGCTTTTCCAGCCTGCATTTACAGCAAGTCTAAGCAATCAGCAATGTTTGTTAGAAAATCACGGTATATAGCATAATTACTATGTTTTATTTATTGACAAATATATTGTTACGCTGTTAATGACTTGACAATATTCCCATGCATATTCAAATTGTAATACACATAGCAAAGAGATTAGTGTCTTTTTTTTTTTTGTCAGAAGAGTTGCAGAGAAAGCAGGATGATGCTGAGCAGCCCATCTTGGGCTGTCTTCCTAGGATACTCTGTGTATAGCCAAGTTTTCTGAAACTGCAGCATGTCCAGTGATTCATTTTTATCACTAGAAGAAATGTAGCTGGTCGACTTCTGCATTTCCCTTAATATTTTTATTTATGCTGTTATTCAGTATCAGTATTTATTATATACTTTAGGACCGCAAAAGTTCAGGAAATAACCCTTGCCAGCTAATCTCATTTGCTGTCACTTGAACAGTAAGGCAGTTATCGCAAAATTATAACACTTCACTGTTCAAACAGAGAGGATTTTTATGGCTCTTCAACTGAATTTTGTACCTGCCACTTATTACAGAAGATTAGCTTTAAGAGAGGCTTGCAGCTGGTATTGATGACAGGCAACAAGGCATTTGTCACCTATCCTCTTGGGCAACAATGATCCAGGTGCAAACTTAAGTTTGCAGATGCTCATTGGAAGCAAAAAGACAATTGTTACTCATTTGTGAACAAAAGTGCTCCTAATTTGGTTTTGCACACATAAAATTTTCAGCAGGGATAAGAACCTGTCAGCTAATTCACCTCAGAGGTGGCAATTCGCACAGGCTATACTGGGAACAACATATTCAGTGGTAGGATATGGGAAAATTTT